TCCAATATTTTAAAAAAAAAATTCTGTTAATTCTTCTAAATTTAGACTCAAGGCCATTTTTAAAATAATAAGATGACGCATACCTTATAATGAATCTTTCTCATAATCAGGGATATATGAAGTTTTCAAAGCTTAAAGGAACAAGTCCAAAAGTATACAAAAAATTCGCAGTTGTTTGTATTCGTATGCTTGTTAATGGTGCATATCCTAATGACAAATTGCTATAAATCCTTATGGATTCAACCAGTGTTAATAAAGTTTAACCTTCATTATCTCAAAACTATAACTTGATCCACTTTAGCTCGGAATGGCTCATGGTGATTACAAAGTTCATGCCCAATTAAAACCCAAATCACATGACACAATTTCACAACACATTGTGTTTATTACACAGCTTTAACGCACCATTATGTTGATGACTTTCTCCGAATTATTTACAAGTTTTTAAAAACATTCTTTGTAGAAATTGCATAGTTTCTCCGCATCGCAAGTCGTAACAAATTTTTAAACTTTTTCATCAAAATTTATTTGTTGGCTTTTCAAATTTTTTTAAAGAGAGCAAAAAGGTAAAAATCTAAGGAATGAAATTCCATAATTCTCTTTTTGAAAGATTTTGCCAAAAAAAAAAATTATATTGCTCTCCTGCGATTTTGAATACACTTTGATGGTGATGGTGGTTTTGGAGTTGAAAAAAATCTCTGCCGGATGGGCGATCAGGAGCATATAGCATTTAAAACCGGATGATTACTATCACCAAAAGCTTCTCACCATGAACTATTTTAAATACAGATTTAGTATGACACTCACAATCAAACTTTTTAAAGTCATGGTACCCTTAATAAAATGAGACTTTTTAATGCACATCTATTCTTTAATGTCGTATATTGTGATATGTGGTATCATGTTACATTCCCCAATTATAGGAAATATTAAAGTATTGAAAGAAAATGACTGATTGGAATATAATAAAACTTTAACTGTTATTCATACACCGTTAGAAATTTCTCGAAAAAAATGGTTTAATAACAATTTATTGAATGGTTATTTTACCGTATTTAATCAAAACAGTCAAATAACCATGGATAAAATGGTAATCAAACTGTTAAGTTTGAGAAAAGCTGTTTATTAACTGCTTTCACCTAATACGGTTAAACAACCAGAATTTTATCGCACTAACTAGGACCACCTAATGAAGCTACTTAGTTCTTTGCAACTGCGTACGTATCATAGCCGAGCGGGCTTATCTGTCTATCTTCTGAACGGGAGAACTGAAGTTCGAGTCCTAGTGTTGGCACCTCTATATTTCCTCCATTCCCTTCAACACAAGAAGAATTTCCAGCGTCGGGCACTCTCCTATGCCCATTACCTTACGAAGAGTCGAGCTCCTACTTCTAGTTAAATAATGAATAATTTTTTACGTTTTTGAAAAATGCTAGTTATAAATGGTTAAAAAACTGTATAGTTTTGTATTCATGGTTTAATAACTATGCTTTTTGTAAATGGTTTCAAAACCATAAAGGAAAAAAAAATGTTCTTTACCGTAAACTTTACGGTTAATCGGTTGGACAGACAGCTGCAGTTATTTTACCATAATTTTAGAATAAAACTTTTAACAATGTAGGAAAACAGATGGTTAAAAATGCAAAGAAGATTATATTATTATATTATTTAGTATTCTTGCTATTGACGGCAGCTAGCCGTAAGCATTTATTTTTTTGACATTAATGTTTGATTTTGTTCTTTATTACAGAAAGTGTTGAAAATATAGTTTGCACAACTCATATTATTTGAATTTAGAATCAAATGCATATAATTCCCTTAAGGTGCATTTTCACTTAAATTCACAGTTTGTTAAGCTCTGAGGTTCTTCAGTGACTTTGGTTCCTAGCCACACCGGCTGTTTATTAATTTTTTTCATTATAAAAACTTTCCAAGAAAAGAAATCGTGGGCATAATGTCTATTTCGTACCTCAAATCGGAAATATGTAGCCTCAGAGAGCTTTGCCTTAAACCTTTGTGAAACCAGTGTAAAACTCTGTCTTAAAAATATTTGAAAACATCATTACCAGTAGCACAACCAGATCGGGCCGAGGCTTTCATTTAAAGATAATTCTTTTCACTTCTATGGGTGATTGCAAGTCCTGAAACCTTAACATTCAAATATCCTTTCAACTGTGTCTATCTATCAGAACTAGAGTCATTCTTTATCACTGCAGTTTTGACACTAGAAGATTTTTTATGGAATCATTAATTCTAAGTAATGAGCAGACTGTCACTTTTATATAATCTTTAAACAACTCATTTAAATAATTCATGTAGTAATCATTGCTTTCAGAATTGAGAATTTCTATAATTTTGAACAAATCAATATTATATTATGAAATAATTTTTTTTAAAAATTAATTAATTTTGTTGAACGATCATTGCTGGCAATAATAGGAAATTTCATAAATTAATTTACTCCATATCTGTCAAATATTAGAAATCTAATCAATCAAAAAAAAAACTCAATTTTCTACTCTTTAAATATTGAGCATTTATTTATTTTATTTTTTTTAAATATCATAATTTTCAACTTTTAAACTGTATTATTTTTCATGAATGTGTTACGTCCCTGTTCAACGGAATATGTTTTCAGGATATATAGATTAACATTAGTAAAAAAATTTTATAAATCTGTTTTAAATCAACTTATGTAATGTTTAAGTTGGCAAACTGATTTTTCATTACAGTTTATTTTATAGTTACAAAACAAAAAGGAGCATTATCTAATTATATGTTATGAACATATTTATAATTGCTATGGATGAGATGCAACTATTTATTATATTGCTTTTCATATAATGAGCAAAATGAGTAGCTTAGTAATAATTTTTTTTTAATTTGCAATCTGCTTTATAGTTGTAAAACAAAAGGCAAGTATATAAATTAATTGCTATGGAGATGATGCAGTTATATATTTTATTACTTTTATTATAATTTAATTTGCTTTACCACACTGTAATAATTACTGTACTTACACTGTACACTTTAACAATTTAAATAAAAATCCACCTAAAAATTTAATTATTTTCTTTTTTATAAGTTTAAACACTTACAGAGTGGAAAATGTTTATGCATTCATTCATATAAATTTTATTTCTGTTTAAATTGTGTTTGTTCTTGTGTTAGCAAATAAAGTTTCAATAGCATCAGTATCTCTTACTCTAAGAGTTTACATTTTCGTCGTTTAAATCTGGGCTCATTTTCATTACTTTTTGAATAAGTTTTTTTTTAATTAATCTACTTTTAATGGATTTAAATGGTACAGTAATTTACTATTCAAATGACAATATCTCAAATTGGTCAAACAGTAGTGATGTGCAACACCCCGGTGATTGACGGAACGCACGTTGTTTCCACTAACTGGTTTAAGCTGGGTTCTTTTTCTGTCCAAGGAACATAAATAAGAATAAGTTTCATTCAAGAAAGCATGAGTTTGCCCCATAATCGATCCAGGAGTTCCATCACCAGCATAATAAAAGTCAAATAAAAAAACATCTTAACCCCTTCCTTCTCGCTCCCGTGAAAATGACGGGATGAGGTTTCGCCCTCTATTTCTCGCTTCCATGATATTTCCAGGCTGGAATGTTCAGTAGTAATGCGCCAATAAGAATAAAACTAATTCATTTCTCCTTGCCCGGAAAGCATTTAATTTCTCATTTTACACACCAGATGGCAGTACCAGGATATTTTTAAGGTAAATTGTAGATAGTTAGTTTATTTTAAACTAGATGTCAGCACTAATAAAATACGCGTATTTGTGATATGTGAAAAAAATATGCACTTTTAAGACCGTTTTCTTGAAAATTAACCAATTGTTAAGGGATTAACTACTAGGCTCGCAACATTAATTTTGCTCCAAATCATTACTCTTATTAGAATCAATACTGAGTTATTCACCCATGGTGTTAACAACTTTCCTTCAACATTTTGAAAAATACCTCTTAATTATGGTACAGTTCAGCAGTTACATTAAATATTTACATATTTGTACTGTTATGCATTGTCATTATGTTTTAAAAACTTAACAATGATGTTCAAAATTATTATATTTAATTTGCCAAATTAGTGATGAAATTGATTGACCAATGTATTCTTACATTAATACTCTTGGTGTATTTCAGCCACAAACTTTTTGATTAACAACCGAACACGCAAGTCGGTTACACCGAGGAGGCTTTTGGTAAAATTAATGCATTTTCAAAATAAAATATATTGTGATATTTCGCTAACTTAAGTGAGGTAAAATGTTTTTGATAACACGACACTAACTGATTGCGCCACGGAAGTTTGAACTGAATTTTATTCAATTTTGAAATAAAACACCAAGTTATCAGTGCGCTGGAAAAAACGTTTTGTAATACCTCTTCCAATCTGGTGTTGAAAAACTGTAAGAAGACTTTTTGAGTTTGCATCAAGCTAACACCAAATTTAACGATTATATACACTTTAAATAGCGTTTTTTAATCTAAACACTGATAATAAAGAATGCCTAAATGTAACTCACCCTCATTTATTAATTTTTCTTTCTTTTTTTTTTCGTTCCAAAATAGAGTCTGCTTTTGGAAGTCGTCAGAAGATCATTTACTATCGAATATGATGGTACTAAACACCAAACAAGGTGGGAACTACTTCAGAACTAAAGAAAACATTTGTGGTGTTTACTACACCCAGGACTATTCTTAGCGTTTCATTATACCATTTTTGGTATAAAGTAGTTTTTTGGTGTTATGATATACTTATAGTATCAGATGGATTTGCTTTACTGAATTGTGCGCACTACTTTGTTTTAAAAACAATCGGGTGTTGTAAAACTAAAATATCTCAAATTTTCTTTTTTATTCGAAACACAATGTTTGTAACAAATATATCTTATTTATTTTAATACATTAGTGAACATTTTTGATTAAATTATTACTTTAAATGTATTTACTAATTTTGGCACACATTTTTTACAGCTGTCTTTTCGATCAGTGTTCCACACTATATGTGAAATCAGATCTAGAATAAGACATATTCTACAAATCAATGAAGATCGTGATCAAGCATTAAAATCCTCTCTCAGAGATTTAGATTATTGTATCAACTCTTATCTCAAGAACTCTGTCGATAGATTTGATCTCCGTAAAAACATCGAAGTAAGGTTTTAGTTCTGATATTTAGCATTTTATTTTCATTTTATTTAAAATATTTGTATAATGATATAAAAAAAAATGCTGTAACTAGAGTTGCAATGCGGTGCAAAAACCTGGTTTATTCTTACGAATAAACCAGGTATTTTCCCCGAAAAGAACAGAAGCCCTTGGCAATAAGAATTAAGGTTAAGAAATTGATTAACCTTTTGTAGACTTCCCAACTTTTTATTTAATATTTAATTGTATATTTTGAAAGATAACATTCTAATTTATGCTAATTTTTAATATCTTGCGTTATCAATCTATAAAAATATGAACTTCCCTTCTTTAATAATCATAATATATATTATTATGATATTCAGTATTTTTTTAATAAATTTATATAGTTGAAAATAAAAAAAATTAAAGCTGAATTTTAAATAAAGGTTTACATGATTATTTAAGCGAAGTATTTGGAAAAAAAACATTGAAGTTCAATGAATTTGGATTATAGCATATCAAGCTGCTTAAAAGCAAAGGCTACATTTTTTTTATTGCAAATGCTACATTGCAATCCATATTGGAAACAGGCTAGTTTTGTTTACATTTAAAATTCCCAATATTCCGGACTTAATCCGGAAAACTTCAGAGTTTATTCGCATTTTTCAAAAAGTGCAACGTTTTTGCATCACTATAAGTTATAACCATGATTCTCAAACTGTGAGGCACGAGCATCTTAAAAATAGGCAATAGTGAATCGAGTAAGCTAGCAAAATATGTTTTCTTGAAAAATAATTAAAGAATCAATAAAACATTTTATAATCCTTGAAAAAAAATTTTCTTTACTCATAGAGATGAATGTTTTTTCGAAGTTCCTGGTTGTAAAGTTAAGACGCAGGATACAAAATATTTATAATGTATAAAATAATGACGTTTTTAATTTTCCATAAATTAAAGCTTTCTAAATTACAGGGAGAGAAATCGCTTCTAAATTTTTTAAGTGTACTTAACAGAAATCTAAATAATCTCATGTCTCTAAATAAAATCATCTAGCTGACTAACAAAGACTTGAAAATATGTAAAGATGAAAAGAGTGAATCAAAATTGTTTATTGATCTAAAATTCATGAATTTTTATCCCACGAAATCAAAAAATATCTTTGACCAACGTAAAAGCATGACTAAGTACACAAGTTAAAAGACTAATAATATCGAAAATAATAACAATAATAATACAAATTTAAAGAAATTCATACACATAACATGTTTTGTTGTCTAGTGTGAAAAGATCGTAAGTTTTTTTTTATTGGTGGAATATACTGTATATGCACAAAAATTTTGGTTTTCTTTAAAAGCTTCATACCAGATATTATATGTTGTAGATAACTATTAATCTACATTTTGGATAATATAAAAAAGAACTGTATTGGATCTCCTATCCCCAAAAATAAGCTAAACATCTGCATAAGTTTTGATTTAATGGTTGAATTTACATATTATAACATATGGACTTAAAGACTCAACAAATTCACAATTACTGATTTAGAACAGTAAACGATAATTTAAGTTACGAAATCGAACATAAAACGTACATTTACAGAACTAACATATCTTTTTTCGAAAGATTTGGATCGTTTGCATCCAAAATAAGGAGAAGCCTCCAAAATATGAAAAGCATGACCTAAACTGAAAGAAGTAGAAAATTTGTACTCCTTGCTTTTTACATATTTCATCCTATCTTTGGAGTTCGTGAAAGAAGAAAAATAAAGCACATACATATAAAACCTATTTATCTAAATAGTTTGCTTTTTTAGCTTTAGTTAGTAAAGTTAAAAAAAATCGTAAGGCACGCAATTTCTTACATTTTTTTAGATTACGTAATTTTAAATAACAAAATACAAGTTATGCACTGAATAGATCTCGAAAAATGAAAATTTGAAATTGCTTCTTTTAGAAATTTTGTCCCGGAACTGCTTAGCTAATTGCACTGAGCTGACCAGTATTCCGGAAACGCTGAAAGACTAGAAGTAAAGTCGAAAATATAATGTGAATATTTGAAAAGTCAGTGCTTTACATTTTCAGTGTAATATTCTGAGAACAAAAACCCATTGCAGAGATTCTCTGACAAAAATGATTTTCAAAACAATTAGAAAGGTAAGGCTGTGAGTTTTCAAATGTACTTATATAAATTTTACTAGCAGATTTTCAGTTTTCAGGAGATGCTGGTTAGCTTAAACTTTCATAACATTTTAAATTTTCTTCCTTGAAAATTAGAGTTTACAATAATGTCAAAATCTACATATTTTAAAATTCAAAAAATTGCCGATTAATAAAAAAAGTGATAGGTGAATATTATTAATTGTTTTTAAACATTGAATTATTTTTGAATTGTTCATAATCGAGAGTGCAAAATTCTCCTAGTAGCTCGAGACATATGATGAAATAGACAGATGTGAAAAAAACATTAAGGGGCTCAAACTGGCTACTTCTTTGCTGATTAAATTATTGAGACCATAAACTCAGTCGGTAACATTCGGGTTATCTACCTTCAAAATATAGAGAGTAACTGCAATCTGGATAATTATGATCCCAATAGTTAATGCCGAAATTTAGACCCCTTAATGTTAATTTCACTTTCTGAGAAATTAGCCATGTGTCTCAGAAAGTCTTAAAAATTTTTGTACAAAAATTCTTTTAGCCAAAGCTGATTCCATGTAAAAACACAATTTTTAATTTTTGTCATTTGAAGCTGGGAGAGCTTTAAGCCGTCACTGGAGATTGATCCACAGTATTTCACAATGAGAGTTCAGTGCCTTAACCTCTGAGCTCGGCTCATTTTATTTGACAAGGAACAGAAATATTCAGTTATGTTATGTTTATAATGCTTACACCATTTTAAACTATGTAATTTTAGAATAGGAAATATAAAGGTTGAGCGAAATAGATTGAATAGTTCTTAAGTTATGAAATTTCAAAAAAAAAAAAATCTAATTTTTAATTTCTATTTCTTAAAAATTATTCGACTAAATTCGTTTAAATTTGTATTTTGTTTTTTAAGCTTACATAATTTAAAATAATAAAATAATTGAATGCTTTAAAATTCAATACATTTTTATCGTTATTAAAAAAATAATGAATATCATAAAAAAAATACGATTTTTTCTTGGAATTATCTTTGAATAAAATAATTTCATAGTTAGGTTCAAAGATTTTTCGATTTATAGCAAAGATTCTCAAAATATAGCAAAATGTGAAATGAACTTAAACTCAGACTAAATTATCGGGATCATATTTTCCGGATTGCAGGTAGATACTTTATTTACGTCACACTAGAGCTGCACAATGGGCTATTGGCGACGGTCTGGAAAGCATCCCTAATGATGATCTGAAGACAGGCCATCGCAATTTTGATCCTCTGCAGAAGAGATTGCAGAGGTAGCTGTACGACCTGTGCTTGAAGTCAAGCACTTTACAGTAGAACAGTTTAACGAGAACCGATACCGCGCACCCTTGGTCCCTACGCAGGCAGATCAAAGTGGTCACCCACCAGCTTACTGACCGCAGCCAGTGATGCTTGATTTCGGTGTTCTACTTGAAACCGTGTCTTTACGATCAGTTCACTGCGGGACTTTCTAGATTGCAAATAACCCACAAGTTTTGATGTTCGAAAATTCAAAATCCGTCTTAAAAAGATGTGTTTATTCAGAGAAAGTACGTTTTTGTGTCTGATTCTGATGTTTAATAGCTAGCTAGTTAGCTTGAACTAATTAGCATATTTGTCGTCACCCCTTTAAGCCATTATGATCGACTCGACTCTTAGTTTGTGAACATCCGAAATAAGCATACACCTGAACTTTGTTTCAAACTATTTTTTTAAAACGGGAATCAAAACATTATTCTTTGCCACAGATAAGCAAAAATTATGAAAATAACTCTTTATCTCTTTTAAAATTAATTGCTTGGTAACTTATGATTATTGCTTAACTGTTAATATGATTCTTTCTATTAAATTTAATTATAATGAAAAACTGATATGTTCACATACTTAAGAAAATAAAATGTTAGAACAATGCATATTATATTATTTAATGTTATATTCAATTAAAATAAAACTAATCTTTTTTAACCATTGTTAGAACTAATCAGGGTTGGCAGGTTTTTGACATGTGACAGTTTTTGACAGTTTAAACCATGGTTTAAACCGTCACGTCAAAAACCTCACTGTCAAAAATGTCGAAAATGTCAANTAAAATAAAACTAATTTTTTTTAAACATCGTTAGAACTAATACAACGAAGTTATTTTTACGATACAATTAATTCAAGATGTAAACACACACAAATTCATAAAATAAAATTAGTTTTTAGCATACACATATTACCGAGATAATATTAAGATAATTATGAATTAGGCTCAATCGACAGAACAGTAACAGAAGCGGAAAGAAATTGAATATTATAAAATTATTTAATATAATTCGCAGATATGTACAAATTAGAATGAAATTATATTTATTACTCATTTTAAAATATACATACCTTGTGTAGAAATGACACCTTGTGTTGGTGTAGAAACCAACGCAATATTTTTCTCTAATTAAAATCCGAAGTAAACTTGGCTTCTGACTATCTTCAATTTTCGCTAACATTGGAATTTTCAGAGGTGAAAATAATTCAAAATAATCTACGAAAGGTGTTAATTAACGTAATTTCGGTGTTGACTATTCTTTATTATTTGATGTAAGGATTTAACTTCGCTGCGTAAATTGTATATAAAAGCTCAATTTGGTATTTACCTGAAATAAAGTTTATTTATTGATGTAAGGATTTAACTTCACTGCGTAAATTGTATATAAAAGCTAAATTTGGTATTTACCTGAAATAAAGTTTTCTGTCACGCGATATTTTGAGTTGTTCAACACATAACTCGGAGGTTACNTACGAAAGGTGTTAATTAACGTAATTTCGGTGTTGACTATTCTTTATTATTTATTGATGTAGGAAATTGTATATAAAAGCTCAATTTG